TGCAGAACTGCTTTGTAGTTCAGGTAAGACACATATATAGTAAATGGATCTACATTCAGTGAAATTCCTTCTTATTCTTAAATTAGCAACTTCATTATCAGCCAAAACAACAAGTAACACAACAAACCTTTACTTCAGTTATATAGAGAATACACTGAGGTACATACACTTGCTCTTAAACACCTACATTGATCCTAAAAGCTTCAAATCCTGCCGATGAAGCCAAGAATTTATTTGCATGTATATATCACACAGAGCTATCTATGTGTAGCCTCATTTCAACACTTACTTGACAAAAGTAATTCCCAGGCCTTTCTATACTGTTTAAACCCCCAGCACTGAAGCTGTATCAGCAACTGCTGGTAGCAGTATTTTCTGCCACTTTAAGCCAGGCAAAACAAAACTATGATTGCTAAACAGAGAAGCAAATCTTTACAGAAAGTAAAGACATTTAGAAGATTCTAAGTCATCATTTAATTATGCAAGAGGATTTTAAAAGTTTTTAATGATAGGGAAATGGCGACTGCTCTTTTGTGTCTACATTTTTATACCTGGAATTGGAAAGCACACTTCAGAACCATACATATAAAACTGTGAGACCAATGCAAAATATTAAGATTTAGACAATGAATTACAAGATGTTTTTATTATTTGTCTTGAGGTTTTTGAGTATTCAGGGTATGATTTTATCATACCTGCAACCTCTTCTCCAGGAGGCTCAAAAACTATTCTCTTTTAAACAAATTGAAATGACAGTCAAGAATCCTGTATCATTTGATCCTAGCAGCTGAGAACTCACAGAAAAACATCAACTATCATGAGATTTGTGATAAAACTCCAAGATCTGACAATCCTGCCAATAATTGATTCAGATCTGAAGTAAGAACCTGAATTCAATCACGCTTAATCCTGAGCGAAATTATTTGGGTACAAGTCTGTTGAATGCATTTATCCCACTGATAATTTATAACTTTACCCTGCCACACAGATAATTGGATTTGATCCCAAGGTGCCAGGTTTCTGCTCTGGTATGAAAATATTGACTATAAACTAAGAGAGCATAATGAATGCTGTAGGACAGTGGGACACACAACATCTCTTCTATAGGCATGGTAATAGGACAACTACATTACTCGTGAGTTATGATGCTAACAATCACCTAGGGGACTGCTCTAAATTTATGCCTCTAAAATGTTTTTACCACACCAGAAATCCATCATTTCAGCCTACTGCATGTATACTTAAGTAAGGCTACTTACAAAAAAAAAAAAAAAATCATTGTTATGCTTAATTGACAGTCTTTTCCATATTCCTTCAACTGTATAAGTCAGCGTTTAGCAGAAGGAATTCTCTTAAGCTTTCACATGAAATGAGCAGTTATTCAAGTCTACTGTAGTATAAAAAAGCAACTTTCATTGCTCATGGGATATGGATTTAAATGACTCCCTAATTCAACACTATATATTGTCCTGAAGAAATTCTATCAAGGCAGATTACAAAAGGAAACATTTTTTTGTCAAGATCCCTTTTTAAAAATGGGAGCTGTTAAGAGTTTCTCAGGTGCTGGGAATCTGACTAGTCACACATGGAGATGAAGAGATGGGCAGAGTACAGGTGAAGCAGTGAGAAGTTCACAATCCATGCACTCATCCAAGCCTGGGAATTATCGCATCAGAAATGTAATTCATCTGTGCTAGGAAAACTGTCAGAGGCAACATGTTCGTTGCAGCAAGATATTTAGAACGTTTCCATAAAAACCATGTCAGTAAGACCAATTCTTTCTACTTAATTCTCCCTTTCACCAGTTCTGTCTCAGTAGATTAATATATCAAGAAATAATGAGAATTTGGGAAACTTAGATGAAAAATACATCTAGGCCATAGTTTCTTACATTATTGCCAAGAAAACATGAAGGGAACTGTTTATTAATTTCCAAGGACATAAGAGAAACTGTTGCTAATAGTTTAAGAAATGGTTTTAAGAAATACAAAGGGTGAAATGAATAATGATGGTTATTATTAAGTAACTAATAATGCCTTCTAGAATAATGCAAAATATGTCAGGTGTTAAACACATTAACATGCCAGCCAAACTACTTTCTCCTTGCCCCAAGACACTCCCAGGTGATGGGTTTGGATGGGCATAGCACAGTCCAGCATCAGGCATAGCATGGCAGGGAGGAGGGGCAAGGTTAATCAGGGAGGCATTTGTCAGCACTGTAACTGGAATGCTTCCTGGTAAAACAGCAGCAATGGATCTCCGCTGTCCCTGTATTTTACTGCTGCAGCAAAAGGATTTTTTGCCTTGACATCTGCTAGTATTTAAATCTGACTCCAAACTCTTTAACTCAACTAAAACTGCTATGGACTCAACAGGAATTTTGCTTGATAAAACCTGACTTTAAAATTGGAATCTAATGTTATCTTTGTTGTTGGGGACTGAAATCCCAGCAGAGTGAATTTATTTTTAAACAGTTTCATAAAATGAGGATAGATGGTGCAGATCTGACCTGGACAAGTGGGTGAGTGGCTAGAGCAAGGACCCACGTTTGATCCGGCCCAGCTCTGTAGGCTGGGAGGTCTCACCAGGGCTGAGCACATTGCCTAGTCAGAGCCCCGTGAGGAACCAAGTGACATCAGTTGGTACGGAACAGAGAAAGGACATAATACTATCATAGGCATGGTGGCAAAGGAAGGACATTTGTATTTCCTCATTTTTGAGGAATCTAGTATCTGTTTTATATTCATATTGAAGAATGACAATTACATTGGTTAACACGCCATTTTACAATACACATGAAGGGCCAAGCAAGGCCAAGCAATGAGTCATTTCTACTTGAACCAATCTATTTATAGCATCAAAAGGCAAATACAAATCCAAACATGTGCTAAGTCTCTCTTGTTGTAATGCTTTGCCCTTTGCACCAGGTCGCCCCTGGCAGTCTTTGGTTACTTCACTCTGTCTGTGGGGATCCCCACAGCTGGCAGACAAATACTAAAACCACAGCAATTTCCTCACTTATTATTTTTGGCAAAAAAAATGAGGTATTGGGCTGTGTGACTCCCACCAGTGTAGAAATGTGTCACTGAAAGTGGCAGGTAGTGACACACAATGAAATTCAGTGAACCTGCAGAAAACCAGAGTATTTGGCCGTGACAGGAATGAATTAACACAGGGGTAAGGAACTGAAAACTTCCTTGCTCTTGCAGAGCTACTATGCATCCTCCAACATTGAGGCACTGCTGGAGACTGCAATAACTTTAGCAGCATCTTTGCATCCAACCCAACAGCTGCCATTCATTCTGATGAATGTGGATTCCTGGGTCCACCCTGACTTTGCTGATGTCCTGGTTTTATGCTACAGCTCCCTCATCTGTCCCTCTGGAGAGAGAGAGGCACCTGGAGTCTGTCCACTCTGGATCTCCCTAAACCTGACAGCAAGAACTTACTGAGCTTTCCAGAAAGGCATCACAGCACCATCCTGGCCCATGGGTAAACATCAATGAGGCAGAGATTTAGGGTTTACTCTCAATATCTAATAAATAGCATTGATGCTGTCACAAAAGAGTTTTTCTTTAATAGTTTAAAAAAAATGTGCATTTTTATACATCTGCATTTCTATACACCACAATGGGGCTTATTAAAACCAGGTGAGTGGAGCAGGCAAATTCCCTTCTTGTTGCAGAAGGGTAGAAGTGAGTACAGTGCACTGCAATCCAAAACCCTTCATACAGGGAAGCTCTAGTTCCCAAACCCAAATTAGGCTACACAGTACCAGTAATCACTAGAAGAAATTTAGATGACAGAAAACATATTATACTGATAACTTCTTGGAGTCATGCCTATCTTTGTGTTACTAGTCACCACCTGCATAGGTGAAGCGAGGTTAATCACAGTAGGAAACTGTTATGAAATAATTTTGACTGAGGAAATAACCAATTAAGTTTCCCCTTCAGCAAACAAGCATAGCTGCAAGCGTTTGAGCTACTCTGGAAACAATAGTACTATTCACAAGCTTAAAGTAACTAGATTTTAGTATATTACAGAAGCAGGATGTAAAAGGAAAACCCTCATGTATCAACAGCTATAATGGACACGCTAACTCCAACTATCTTCTAGATATATACATATACATATGAACATGTGCATACACCTTCTATTTATTTAACACACTGAAGCCTACTGTACACAACTTGTTTGTAACATGTAAATCAAACAGAAGCAAAGCTTTCAGTTTCGAAGACCATCTTTCTGATCAAGTGTGCTTTTGCAAACATGCTTCAGAGCATGAAAACAACCATTCTGACTAATTCCATCTCTCTCAGCAGAAACCCTATCTTTAAAAGTCACTCATCACTGAATGGCCTTTGGTCTGCAGAAAAATGTGAAGTATGCTTTAATTACATCCCCAATGGCCTCCCATTTGATGTCCTGTCCACTGTATCTGTGGCGAGACAGCCTTATCTCTGGATATTGTTCAATTACACTAAACAGCATTTATTCAGGCCCTCGCTGATTCACTGTATCAGTACGTGGCTATTTGCTCTTCAGCCGTAATTTTGAAGGGTGAAGTCTCCCTCATTAAACAATGTAAGACTTACAGTAAGACCCAATAATAATGGCTATATTAACTACCATTACAGTCAAATGGAATCCCTCTGAGGATACGTGTCATTCTGCTAGCATGTTTATACCCAATGTGTTAATATCAACTCATGTTCTTACAAGAGAATTCTTGCTTTATAACAATACGTTCTAGTTGTGAATTAAGTACCACTTGATATGTTAGATATGCTGTCCCTAAATTTTAGTGTACTATATCATTGATGTGTTTCATTCACATTTTGTTTCCTCTTTACAACAGTTAGTCATATGCATCAAATGAACTGGATATCAGCCCTGCATGGTGAAGATGCCTTTTCTATGTCATCTGAGTTTTCAGAGTCAGCCTCTTGCAGCGCTCTGCAACACACAGAAAAATTCCCTCATGCACATCTTACCTCTTTGGTGTGGGTGTGGAAGGAGACTGACATGTCCAAGAGAAGTTTCCTCTGTTCCACCCTCCGGACAAAGTCCTGAATCCGTACTTCCAGATGCCGGGCTGCTTTATAGATCTCTTCAGGGTCACATTCCCCAGTCTGAGCCAACTGCTCTGCAGCCTCCAAAAGCTTGTCTGCATTGGTGTATGTATTCTACCAGCAAACAAAGCAAGAAACGGTGTATGAGTAATACAACTGTGGCAAGTAAACCCCTGAAACAGGCTGTTTATACTTTCAAAGGCATGAAAGAAAGTGATTACCAGAGTTTTAAAACAATACTAATAATTCCTACTGGCGCTGCCATCTGTGAAAGGAGGATGTATAAAGCCACATAGACTAATCCCTGATTACACATGAAATAATGTCTTATTTGAAATACACCACCCCAGCCCAATCCTGCCAGGCACAGCAATAGGGCTGTGCACTTGTTTATTTCCAAGTCCCCTGGAATTTCTCAAAGATACTGTAATGAAAGCAAGTGGGACTAACCACCTCAGAAGCCTACGGTGCCTCACGTGACATTCAGCTACAAGCCTGTTGCAAAGGCCTCCCAATGGCTATCACATTACAGCAGGTAATCATGTTAGCCAGAGATGTCTCAGCCTCAAGAAACATTTGCCTTTCACTGGCTTTTGTGAGATAACTTAAGAAGACTGTGTCTTCAAGTTCATTCTACGTCCTCTCATCTACTGTTCTGCATTGTATTTCTAAACAGAGTAAATCTATTTGATAAGCTTGCAGCTGCAATGCTCAGATTGCTTTGGAGTGGTATCATTTCCAGTTGTCCAAGGTATGTACCTGCCCTCCATTACACAAGAGTTTGAACACTTCACCATCCTGAACAGATTTAGCCCATAGCCACGGCCTTTGCGATATGAGATGTACTACCCCTACTTTATGGAGAGGGAACTGAAGAATGCAGAAGCTAAGCAATGTACCCAAGACATGCCAGTCTGTGGAGGAACAAAGGAGAATTCCATCAAACTTATCTCAGCTTTCAAACTACCTGCCCGTTCTTTCTCTCCCTCTTTCACGTTTCTGGAAAACACTAATTAACTAATACATGAAGGAGTCTCATAAATAACAGCAGAAATGGAAGGAGAGTGCAGACATCTTTTCCATAGCCATGGACCTATGGTTTAGTCAGCTATGTTTAGCTAACTAAACATAGCCAGCCCTTGCTGTCATAGAAAAGCTTTCTTCACTCAAGTTGAGGCCAATACATCTGTGGCGTTTAACACTTAACAAAAATAAGGAGAGACAAAGATATCAGCTTAAGGGTGTTTCCAGTACTGGGTGAGATTTCCAGAAATGCTCGGCATTGGCCTAACACTGCTCCCACTGGGAATTTTAACCTCCCCATCAATACAAGCAGAATGGTAGCACTTTCCTTTTCAAAATCCTACTGAGGATCCTCCTCAGTTCAAAAATGCATTAACTTTATAGAAATACACAAAATACCTTTGAACACTGTGGAAACACATGTACTTCTAAGCATTAAAGGAACATAAAAGCCATGAATCAAGTCATGTTGTTCTTACTTAAATAATATCCTGCTGCAGTGAATAGTTGTTGCTGGAGAAAATATTCAATACAAAGATGGAGCACTGGCCTCCAAGTGTTTAATGGGGGAAAATATTTCCAGTTATAAAAAGCAGAAAGAAAACAGCTCATTCACTGTTCATTTTCCCAGTTTCTGAGGGCTGACTATAAATATACAGTATTTGCATTTCTACTTTTTGGACTGTGAAGAACATATTCTAGACAGTTTTGTTACCAATAGTAAATTTTTATTCCCTCACTTTCAGGCCACTGCTATAATGGTTAGGTTGTTAACAGTGGCAAAATGTTATGTTTTAATAATATTTTTTTGGAAACCTCTTTAGCTGAGAATTTGTAAAAAATGTTCCATTTAATATGATCTGAATTAGGGTCCAGTTTCACTTAACAGCATCCTTTCTGAATGATCCTCTTCCAATAGTATTTGGAGCAAATGCCAAAGCTAGCACTATTATTCAAAGTCTACTCCACTCTAGGGTTTTTCACACATTACCACTACAACAGCTCAAACACCAGTCCAGATCCCTGAAGAGATGTCTGTCCCCTGCTTTTATTTGTAATATTTAGTATACTTTTAAATGCATTTACTCTCTGAGTATAGCACAGATTTGAGACAAAAACACCTTTGCTGAAATACAGTATGAATACAGCTTTGCTGCATTTGTTCCTAACACACTTACGTTCATCTCTGCTGAAAACCATTACACGTTTACTGACTCCAATGTGTGATGTACCTAATTACATCTAGATGAGGTGAGTTCACCAATACGATGATCAGATATAAATACACCGCATGGTGAAAAGGGTGTAGGCTGAACCCTAGGCTTTGGGGGGAAGAGTGCAGATTGGCCTCAGCAGAGGTTCTGGCCACACTGCACAGACAGTAAAGGATGCAGTGGTCCTGCAGCAGTCCCTTTGTATTGCACAAGATTCTCCAATGGCAAAAGGGATTTTCTGCAAGGAAGCTGGCTGGATGTGAAAGGAGGCACATGCGGTGTTTCCCCTGGGCTGTGCCAGGCACTGTCAGCATACAGTGATGCTTCCCTGAAGCATTCATACCTAATTTTGGACATGTTTGCTTAAATGTGTCACACACAAGAAGCCGGAACACAGCACATTAAGTATGGTGAAATTTTTGTTCACCTCGTTTTCTACCTTTGTTCCCAGCTAAGTGTCTGGGTTTTAAAAATGTGCAGTTTACGATAGGAAAAACACAAATGGCTTTATCCCTGTCATTCTAGAAGGAAGGCCTGGTGCTGAGACATTTTCAGCTCACTGTTGCAGATTTAAGAAGTGTAGATACATTTCAGATAAGCAACCACATTTGGGAGTTAACCACACTCGCCTTGAACTTCAGAGTTTGATGTATTCATGAAAGGATTGTCATCTAATGTCAGATGAGATATAAACACAGCACAGGCCAAATAAGCTGGAGGTTAGTTACTTGGTAAGGGCCTGCTCTACTTTTGTTCTGTTCATTTGCTTCAAGTGCACATAAATCATATCAGAAGTCGTTATGCATATCAAATATTTTCATGTATATCTTTTTCTCTACAAGTGCTGAACTAAAGCTGTATTGAACCTGAGAGCTTTGTCCTGGTTGGTACTATAATGCTGCAGTGTTTGCCTGCTTCATATATTTTCATCCTGAGCTCACTCTCTCGTTAGGGACCTCTTCAGAGTACAGACCCTTATTTAATTTGTTTGAAGCACTTTGTACTTTTTTGGTTTGACATAACGCTCCTGGGAATCCAGGAGAGAACTAAGTCTCATGATGAAGAAAAGCATATAATGCCTCCTTGTCCTGTTACCCGCAGCCAGAACAGATTACCTCAGATTCCCAGCCCTTCTGAGATCTGGAAGGATATACCAGGAGCACAGGATCCAGGTACATCTCCAAACTGGCATCAAGATTCAAAACTTTGGAAGAAGGTAAGAGCTAACACAACCACAGAAGGAAATTTTTGCCACTAGAAGGACAATCATGACTGTCCCCTTTTCTGCAAACCACAAACCTGTGGAAGGTTTTCTGTGGCATCCTGAGGAAGGTGACACCAAAAATGGCTAATCCCTCCAGAGGGAAGATGCCATGAAGAATCTCTCTTCTACTCTGTGGAAATTAGTTCCTGTCAAACAATAATAGGATGAGTTCCACAGAAAAATAATCTATGAGTTATAAAATTATATGCTCTCTGAAACTTTATGGGTGTGTGGTATTTTTTCCTACTGTTGCATTAACCCCTGAGAGAACTGTCATGTGTAAATGCTTGAAATTCTCAGTGATCTACTAACTGACATTACATACTTCTGTACTGTTTCAAGCACAAAACCAACTTCCATCTCAAATCTTTTAATAATCTTTCTATACTAATCTTTGTATAATCACCTATTTCAATCATAAGATCTGCAATCACAAGAAAATGAAACTGCACCCTTCAGATTTTAGAATAGAAATGGATATAATGTATACTTTTGGAATTCATTTTAGACAGAACCAGGGGCCTTTCATCTCTCTCCTGTTTCTTGCAAATGACAAAAAAGAAACACAATTATGGAAAAGAAACAGATGAACAAAACCTATACAACAATCCCTACCACAGTTTGGAATCGGAGGTGATTGTTGTCTTATCTCATGGCAGTATTTGCTAACAGGATTCCCATAATTTTGGTTCATCAATTGTTAACAGTTTGATATTTAGTAGCGAGTTGAAAAATATGGTTTATGAAAAAGCTGATATGAAATTTGCCTGTTACATTTATCATGCTTTCCTTTGCCTTTCAGACCAACAAGCACCAAAATGTAAGGATCCATTTCCATCTCTGACCCAGGTAGCAGATCTCAGCTGAGATTCCACCGTGTCTCCAGGTTAATGTGCATGAAGCCATCACTGCATTGGAAATGCACTATCCAAACACAGCTGTTTCAGCAAACTGCCTAAGAGATTTCCTCAAAGTTGAAAGAAACATTACTTTGTCCATAACCTTTGTGCCAGAGAAGTGTTTCGTCAACTCTAAATCTTTTTAACCCAGAGTAGGATTTTCACTGATTCTCAAAATCAGAGAGCACTGGCTGCATGCAGTTTGTGCTTGGCCTCATCTGTTACACAGAAAATAGCATTGCAGTGCTCAGTACAAACCAAGGGCCCCAATCCTGGTTTGAAAGTATTTGGCATTTTTTTCCTAATTAAAAATAAATAAATAATTAAATGAAAAAATACTGAATAATGTATCAGTTAATTCTTGGACCAATGTAAGGTTAGAGGCAGCAGAACAGAAATATCTTGCCTTTCTTATTTATGACATGTATTGCAAGCTAAAGAAGTCTAATATCTAAGTCACTTAGAAACAAATTAGAATGGAATGGAATAGAATAGTTCAGTTGGGAGGGACCTACAACGATCATCTAGTCCAACTGCCTGATGAATGCAGGGCTGACCAAAAGTTAAAGCATGTTGTTAAGGGCATTGTCCAAATGCCTCTTAAACACTGACAGCCTTGGGGCATCAACCACCTCTCTAGGAAGCCTGCTCCAGTGTTTGACCACCCTCTCGGTAAAGAAATGTTTCCTAATGTCCAGTCTAAACCTCTCCTGG